TTATTTATTTATTGTGGAACCGGGGATTGAATTCAGACCCTTGCACTTGCCAGGCAAGCATTTATTCTACTGAGCTAACTCCCTGGCCCTGAGAAATTTTTAAAATAGTTATGTAACCTCTCTGAGGTGACTTGAGACAGACTTCTCAGCAATGCTGAAGCTGTTTGCACTTGGGCAACTCTTTCAGATGGACTAAATACCTTTTGCATAAAGAGATGTGCATGAGTCTTTGGGGGAAAGATCAGGAGTGACATTTTATGGTTCTAATGTCATGTAATGTTTATAGACTTAATATTGGCTCTTAAGGATTATTAAACTGTGATATAATATTCAAGTTGTGCAATGATGAAAATGTCTTTGTGTCTGGAAAAAAATAAAGTAAAATAGGTATGTAGGCTTAGAAGCCAAAATAAGGGTAGAAGTAGATTTGATGAATAATTTCATTCTAATCATTGTCTCTACTATTACCATGATCTTTCCTTTTCACACACAGAAAAGATGGTGCAAGCTGTGAGATATCCTTTTCTGTTGCTGCTGGGACTGTTGGCACTAATGTGTCCACTGTGTGCTCTGGAACCAAACGACAACATGAGTAAACAGTTTGCAAATAAGCACATAATGACTGAGTCAAAGTCATGTAACACCACAAGGGTCCCGATCAACCAGGCTATGCGCAAGTGTAAGGAGTCAAACACCTTTCTTCATGTCTCTCTCAAAGACGTGTATAAGGTCTGTGATTCTAAACCCATCAGTTGCAAGAATGGAGCCCAGTTGTGTCACAAGAGTGAAAACCTTGTTGGTATGACTGCATGCAATATCAAGATAAAAGATGAAACACTAGAGAAGTGTACTTACAACGAGATGAAAGTGAATGATTACTACACTGTGGCATGTATTCTTCCAGGTAGTAGCACTAAGTTGACCCCTTCTCACTTAGACTAACTTTGTAAAGATTTGATCACTTTTCACACAATTTCTATTATACTTTCTTCTTTTTCTTTTCCTTTTGAAAAACATTTCCTTGTTTCCACAAAAAGAAAAGAATGAGTTGTTGATTTCTGCTTTAGAGATTTGACTATTTTGAGGCAAGGCAAATGTGGAAAGGAAGGAAGAGCTCTAAGCCTTTGAGACTTCTGTCAGCTTTATTATACTGTATTAACAACAATAAAACCAATTCTTTCTGCATTCTCGTGAGCGTCTCTGTTTTTTTCCTGACTTTCAAATCCTTGTCTGTCAGAATTCCAGGAATGATTTTCTTCCTAGCTCCCTAGGCACCTTTCAAGTTTCCTTGAGAGCTCAACCAATTTCCTTGCCCTGTGCTCTGCCAGTGGAAGAAGGGAAGTTCCTCTATCCCTTCAAACTCCTCTTGATTTTACCTGTTTCCTTTGAAGCCATTGTCTATTGAAGACCCTTCCCATAGTGCCAGTTATAGGAACACCTGCAGTGGGTTTCAGTCTCCCTGCCTGGATTACTGAACAATGTGGGAAAGGAAAAAAAAAAAAGAGCAAAGGAAAAAATAGAGCCATACATAGCAGGGATCTGAGACTTCCAGTTGCTCTCTGGGAAGAGAAGGGTCCAATCTTCAGATAGTCACCATTTTGCTAGCCATTGTAGGGATAAGGGGATAGGCTGCTTTTCCTTGAACAGCAGAGAGGCAGTGGCACAATGGGCAAGTATAACTTCATAAAGGAAACAAGCCAAGCTTCTTCTCCACACCTGGGTGCTAACCTCATTGACCTAGAGGAAGGTGATTTCTGCATTTTAAAACTGGTCATATGACAGGCAAGGTAAAGAAGGCTTAGGAGAGATACTATGCTAATGTATAGTTCACATTCCCTAACAATTGTCTACAACTATTTGGAAGAGAAAGAGAGAGAGAGAGAGAGAGAGAGAGAGAGAGAGAGAGAGAGAGAAGAAAAGTGCCTACTTTAGGTTTTTTAGGGGGTCATTATGAACAATGCTGGGTAGCTAGTGCTGAACTACATCCCTAATCTTTATCTTTTTTTCTTTTTTGGCAGAACCAGGGATTGAACTCAGGACCCTGCATTTGCCAGGCAAGCACTTATTCTACTGAGCTATCTCCCAGGGTCCCCTAATCTTTTTATTTATTTTTTTTTTACATTTGAGATAGGATCTCACCAAGTTGTCCTCAAACACATAATCCTCCTGTCCCACCCTCCCACATGCTGAGATTACAGGCATGCACAACTATCTCTATTAAATTTTTTAAAAATAATTTTGAGACAATATTTTACCAAGAAAGCTGATTGGAAGTAGCCTCCCCTTTCACAATTAGAGAAAAAATAGAGTGTGAACACTGTTGGATGTAACACATAGCGAGAAACTTATCTGATGATCATTTGCTCCTTCCTATTGGTACTGGGGATTGAAACCAAAATGTAATTCATAGTACCACAAAAAAATGTGCCCCCCACCAAGCTGGTCAGTCTTCTGTCAGCTAGAATGAATGCGCTTCTCTAGGTAACCTTCACCGGGTTGGGGTTTTTCCTGTTTAAAGCTCAGGCATGATATGCAACATTGACTCCTATAGGGCAGCAAATCAAGCTCTCATGGCAAGATCATGCTCTGCCCTGTAACGGAACATTCGCAGGGCTAAGACTTTTTTCTTCCAAATAACTTTGGAAAAATATTAAATTATTAAAATATTTTAAAATATCAATAATAAAATATTTTAATTCAAGGTATGATTGAAAAGCAAAATTTATGTAACTTAGTGATGGAAATAAGTGTAAATCTGTGAACTCTGCACCACAGTCTAGGTCTATAATACTTCCCTTCACCTTCAAAAGCATCCTCCCATGCTATATTATTATTATTTTTTTTTTTTGTGGTACTGGGGATTGAACTCAGGACCCTGCACTTACCAGGCAGGCACTTATTCTACTGAGCTATCTCCCCAGGCATATTACTATTATTTTGTGATGAGAACATTTAACATAAGACTTACCCTCTTAGCAAGTTTAAGTTGCACAGGGCTGTTAACTACAGTGCCGTGCTCCACAGTAGATCTCTAGAATTCACTGAATAACCAAAGCCATGTTCTCTTTACTCCCTCCCTGTGTTCCCCTTTTGCATTGAAGACAGCCACTATTTAACTCTCTTCTTCTATAATCTTAACTATTTTTACAGTGATCAAATATAACGTTTGTTCTGTGTATGGCTCATTTCACTTGCTATAAGTGTCTTTCATTTGCTGTTGCAGAGGGCAGGATTTCCTTCCTTTTAAAGGTTGAATGTGATTCTATTACATGTGTGTACCATGTTCAGCAAATCCATGGACATTTGGGTTGCCTCCATGTTAGCTATTATAAATATTGCTACTGTGAACATGGGAGTGCATGTATTTCTTTGAAATCTTAATTTCAATTCTTTTGTATATATGCAGAGAGGTGGGATTGTTAGGTCCTATGTGAACTTTAGTGAAGGAGGGAAGGAAGGAAGGAATAGATAGATAGATAGATAGATAGATAGATAGATAGATAGATAGATATATTTTACAGAAGGGTCTACAGGATGTTCAGGGTCTTACTACTAGATCAGGCTCATAGTGATCAGCCTGTTTACAGCCTCCTAAGAGCTGGGATTAGAGGTGCACTCCATTATGCCCAGTCTAAGGGCCAGGGAGATGGCTCAGTAGAACAAGCACTTGCCTGGCAAGCACAAGGGCCTGAGTTCAATCCCTGGTTCAGCCAAAAAAAAAAAAAAAAAATCTCATTATGCCCAGTCTCAATTGCCATCTCAGCACATCCCAGAAGCAGGGCCAGCATGGCAGGCTGGGGGATCAAACCCCCAAATCCTGCACCTAGTTGCAGGTGATTTAATCTGCTGAGCTATTTGGTTGGCCTGTGGGAAGGAATTTTTTGAGGCAGGGTCTTGCTCTGTAGTCCAGAGTGGCCTTGAATTTACTAGCCCAGGCTGACCTCAAACTCATGGTGATCTTCCTGCCTCAGCCTTCTGAGTGCTGAGATTATAGGCATGCATCAGCCCACACAGTGGGAGTTCTGTTTTAGAAAGAAGACTCACTATACCATTTCCATAGTGGAAAACCAGTTTACCTTCCCTTCAGCAATGTACAAATGTTCCTTTTTGGCTCAAGTCAACAACTTCTGACAATTCCTAGTTCTGCTGATAGCCCAGTACTACTATGGACTATTGGACTATATTGGGTTATTTTGCTGAATTCAAGGACCTCCAATCTTTAGACTAGTTGCAAGTATGAAAAGGTCCTTTAAAGACTTCTCCGAATACAGCTTCTCTAACTGAAGCTGAATACCCATCTCTGAAAAAAACAAACCAAAAGAGGGGATATGTTGGGAGCCATGAAGCTAGGAAATGGATCAAATATATGTAGGTGGGACTTGGCCCAGTGCCTAAAGCAAACAAGTTACCTCACTCCTGAGATGAACGTCCTATTTGGTTAAGGTTAGCTATCAGTTGTTAGGTAACCTAGTATCATGTGTTACTAACTTCACAAAAGTGTAAGTAAAGGACTATTTTGTTGTGAAGAAAACAAATAGGAAGGAAAAAATATATGCATACACAAGACAGGATAGATATACAGCTACTTTCTCTTAGTTCACTGAGAATAAAAGTTTATAGTAATATTGTTTAGACAACATATCATGTCTGCATCTTGTCTTCTGAACAACTACTACGAAGACAACAATATGCAATGTATTAATTATTGTAACCATCTTACTAAAGTGTTTTGAAACTGTTTCATTGCTATTTTTCACATTAAAATGAATAAAAAATTTTTAAAAACCAAATTTCCTTTTTATCATCTTCTTGCCAACACTGCTTATCTTCTACCTTTTCATAGAAACCATCCTACCATGTCTGAAGTGATAGTTAATAGTTTTGATCTATATTTCCATGATGGAAACACTTATTATGTTAGAGTGGACAATTCAGTAATTTTAACTTACTCATAAGGGGAAGCAATTCATTTCAGAACATTTTCATCAGCCCCAAAAGAAACTAGTCACAAAAAAGAAGAAGAAGAAGAAGAAGAAGAAGAAGAAGAAGAAGAAGAAGAAGAAGAAGAAGAAGAAGAAGAAGAAGAAGA